CTTTCATTCATGTTCCCTTCATCTGGTTAACAGGCCTCAGCTGTCCAGACTATCAGGCTGGTGGACCCAGTTCAGAGGGTTTGTCCAGAATGCCTCTCCCCACGCGTCCTGGCCGTGTGGGGAGAGGTTGCCGAACTCTAACGATCACTCGTCATTCCACAGAGGCCCATAAAGAGGTTAGCTGACTTCGCTGGCTCACTCACACAGAGCAAATTCCCCTCACTGTCTCATATTACATGTTTGTCTATAACATCATATATACAACATACAGGTTTATCTCCATCTGTCACAGGCTGTTAAAGAATCTGGATCTGATCACATCCTTTCCTCTATCAAATTCAGCAAGTGAGTGCATCTGTGATAATGAGATTACACATCTGCATGGAATATACAGTACCCTCTTCCTGTAATGATTTGTTTTATATGAGTGGTGAGAATGTTCACCTCTTTGTTGCCCGCCCAGGTGTGAGCTGCAGCCTCACGTGAGCCGCCTCACCATTCGGAGGATGGGGTCGACTGACGTCCCTTCCACCCGCGAGAATAAAACAACCCCAGTTAAAAATAATGCATCCTCACCTGGACAAAAAGATGAGTCGGCCACCATGAAAGTCTGGAAGCTGCTCAGACCAGGCCTCCACCGACACCTGTCACTCTCAGGCATGTATGAAACTAAGAAAAGATGGATTTCACTTGACTTAACTGGATCAAATGGATGGAAATCATGAACCTAAAAAACATATTAGTTCAAGCTGCAATTCCTTTAAGTCCTGTGTTGTCTTTTAGCTCATTGTTTTAGTTTCATGCCTTGCAACTTTACTTTTGTGTTTTCTAAACTTTTGAGCCCATTTTTATACTTTAACCACTTAGGCTGGATTAACAGATGACTCCCAATACAAGTCTCAGTTCGCATTGTTCATAATATAACATCATTTTCAAATGCTGCATGGAATCATGTGGTCTCTGCAGGTTTCAACAAGCAAAATAAGACTTTTTAAGACTTTTTTTAATCCAAGTATGACCAATATGAAGGAACATCAGAGTCCCACCTCCCCACAACTGAAGATAAGGTGAAGTAGCCTAGTAGAGAATAACCCTTGAATAACCATGTTAACTTGCAAACTAGAAGCAGGGACTGCAGGTAACTGTAATCTTTCCCACAGCCAAGGCAAGTAACGTTCACTGTGTATATGTGAAGATTACACACTGGAAAGAGAGATGTCAAAACATTTTCGAAGAACAATTAAGCAGAAGTAGCAATGTTAACCTAAAATACCTAGTATGTAATATTTTAACATATTTATTTAAACCCACAATCCAGATTATTTAATTTTAGACATTTTAAGACCCCAAATTACTGTTTTGACCTCCCTCTTTCTTTAACGTAACTGTTTGATTTCACTCTGCAGGTGTATCAGGGAAAGACGGTGCCATACAACTGGCCTCGAAAGCACTAATGAAGAAGAGCACCGACAGGAGTTTACACTATACAGGCGGTGCTATCATAGAAACTGCACAAGAGGTGGACGAAACACTGAAACAGGTACAAATATATATGCACATTTTATGTCAACTACAACTAAAAGGAACATTCTAGTGAGACAAATAAATGACTTAACCATGCATGCTGTCTTTGAAGGTTGAGGAACCTCCAGTGATGGCTCTGCCTGAGCCTGTGAACAGGTGTGACACAGTGACCCTGTGTGGAGAAGCCTAGGAACTGCACAGTAGAGAAGAGGCGCTTGAACTCGTGTGAACTGGACCAAACTGTGATCAAAACCATTAAGAACTTCAAAACGAGAGGACATTTTAATATGGAGCATCTTAATGTGCAATTCATTGTTTTTGTCTGAATATATTCAGTATCCTAAGCATGCATCAATGCTCTTCAACATAATCGTACCTTGGAGCTGCTCAGTACAACTCAAATGCAGGTGAGAAGCTGAAGTGCCTTGCTGAATGACACCACATCAGTGAGTTGTTGAAAGGCACACGCTTTCCCTATCTCTGCTTTCAAACTGACAAAGTTCCATAGACTTGAAATATATTTAAAACATTTCAGTTACTATTACTGTACCTCACATTTTGTGTTGTCTTTATGCTCCTCACCCAAAAAGTAAGAAAACGCACTCTGACCAATATAACTATGCACTGATGAATAATGTAACATGTCAGCCACTTGTACTATTAAATCAACGGTATATTTTTATTAATTGTAAAAATGCACCATGGCACCTTTACAAACTCTTTAATTTCCTTTGTGTATTTAGAGGCAAATGTGTGAGTGAGGTGTGTGTTATTGTAATGATTCCAAAATTTGTTTGTGGTTTAAAAACAATGCCAATAAAAGGTATTAGTTCACCTTGTTTTACTCTCATTTGTTATACCACATTGGTCGACAGAGAAGGAACTGAAATGTCAAATTATTATTAATTATCAACATGTAGAGAAAAGAAAAGTTTAAGTTGTAGAGCTGTATGTAGCTAATCCTTTATGAAAAATACACACGTACTGTATCTGGAAGGTCCAGGAGAAATAAAAAGAGATGTGGGACAGCTGCACAACTTATATAAGACCACCCACAGCATCTATGTGAAAAGGACATTAATGGGAGAGGCCACCAAAACATATGGAGCCTTGTGGGGGAAGTGTCATGTGGTGAGAAAGTTTCTCTGCAGCAGGACCTGAGAGACTTGTGGGGCTGGAGGGTCAAATGAAAGCAACAGACTACAGAGAGGTCCCAGAGGAAATGTCGACTACAAGAGAACTGCAACATGAGGCCCTTCCCCCCCCAAATATACATAAAGTAACACAAAGTAACACGAGAGGCTTGGGTCAGAAGTTGATACATGAAAGATTCCAAAGATGGGTTTATACGTTTATGGGAATTGTATAAGATATATATATATTGATGACAAATTTCAAATATATAAGGCAACCTGATGTAGATTATACTATGTTAAAAACTTGAAGCATTAATATTCTTGAAATAAACCTCACATGCTTTCAATTTAGCACTATTCAATAACGATGTATATTATGTACCGTGCTTTCTCCAAGAATCCAGGCACCTTTATTTTTTTACATATTTTGTTATGTTGAAGTCGTGTTTAAATCTTCACTCTACTCCATATTGGCAAAAGGAAAACATTTTATTTAAGCATTTGTACCATTTCTGGAAAATATGTTTAAAAAAATTAGCATAAGGCTGGAGCATAAATGGTGAAGATGCCTGTACATGTAGGACAACTCAAAGTAATTTAGTGAAAAAACAAGGCAAATGTTCTTACCACATTTTTATTATACAAAAAAAGACAAATGTGCAACCATAACAACATAGAAATTCATCTCTTGGAAAGAGGGTGGTGGGATAATGGGGAATGTTGTTTCCAGGGTGGCGGCTTTGATGCCCATCTCATCTGTGGAGACAAAAATACATTAAACGGGTTCACATGGGTTTTACCACATTTATACTAATGTTCAGTGACTACATATCAAATAATTGACAATGTAGTGAATTGTAACTACACCAATTCTGGGACATGTTAACATTTAATTCTATGTTTCACACCAAACTTCGCTGCTTTCAATCATTAGTATACTGAATACACCTTTTACCACAGAAGGGACTATCAAACTAATTCAAAAACCTGACTTGTACATTTGTTCACAGTGAAGCATGACTGACAGTGGTAGCAACAAAGAAAGTGGTGAAATGAGCCATCTTGGACCCACACAGATTGCACTCACATCTCCGATCATGTTGGCAGACCCTACTCCTGTTTCTTGGGGTTATTGACAGCGACGTAGTGATACAACACAACCAGTAGGAATAATGACACGCCAAGCATGTTGGCAAATATGGCCAGCTGCACGTCCGTCACCATTCTGCAGAGGATAGAGACACAGTGTAAACAAGTGCAAGGCTGCTCATTCTGGGGAAGGGGGAAGATATATTGCAAGATTTCAAGTCCATTTATTAAGTGGTGTTTAGTTTTTGATCATATCTTTATTCCCTCTGCCAAGGAGGTTGTGTTTGTTAATTTGCTAGCAAGATTACACAAGGAAACCAGACCAGATTATCACGACACTTTGGCTCAGGGATGAACTTTGTAGGGCAGATCGAGGACATTTTTACGCCTGTAACATTGTGAGATAGGGTGTCTTTCAACATTTTGGGTAATTTCTCAGAGAATACATGGATCATGCTGAAAAAATCTGACATGACTGTTCATATTAATGTAATGATAGTGTAAAATGAACTAGCAGAGATGTTTATTTCAGATATTCAGAGTGTCCTAACTGAGTTCAGAATAGTCGTTGGCATGATGATCAATGCAGGTAACTAGAAAAGGTAGGAAAATGCATTTCAACTATTCAAAATAAAAGGGGCTTGTATGTTTGATCAAACAACATCTAGAACAGCGAAAATGACTTTCTGACCACATGACGCCAAAAACTTAGTGAATACGTGACTTTTGCATATTAGTTTGTAGAAAACAACTCTGAGAAATCACGACCAGTTCTTACGAATGTACAATCAATATGTGTGCTGTTAGCCTAGCTAACCAGCTAGCTACCACACTAGTGCACCCGACACTGGTGAAACTAGACAATATGGGGGACGCTACATATAAAGCGTCAACGTTACTATAAAGAAAAGCTCCCTGCAGTGTAAATGTAATTACTGTAACTACTTACGTTAACTCTGATCGCAGGTTTAACTCTCGGTTCAAGAGATTCTTCAGCTGCTCTGCATCAGACAAGCAAACCGGTCTTACTTCCGGTTTGAGGGGAAAGACACGTCAAGTCTAACAGCGCCATAGAACTAGAGCTAATAGATCCCATCTCAGTGATCGATTAATGCAAATGAAACACTCCAAAGACCATTAGTCGTTCAGTTTTCTCAAGTGACGCCACATTGGAACACAACTGGTTTAGTTTGGGGCCAAATAAACACAACGCAATTCTGTTATTCTGCAATATTTGATCATGGTCATCCAAACCAGGGGTGGCGGTAGAGAGCCGCAGTTCGTACAGCGCGCACCCTCCGCAGGAGGGGCTGAGATGTTTCGACATCACCGCACCCGGCGTGAACGACAGCGGCTAAAGCTACATGGTGCTCGGACTCGGCAGCTAACGTTGGGGATTTGATATTCACTCATCTCACCGTTGAGTCACACTGCGCCACCATGGCTCTTTACGAGTATGTCACCCAGGAGCAGCTGGCGGGCTTCGACAAATACAAGGTAAGATTCCCACACTGTAGTAGCATGTTAGCAGCTAGCATTGAGCCGTGTGTGTGTGTGTGTGTGTGTGTGTGTGTGTGTGTGTGTGTGTGTGTGTGTGTGTGTGTGTGTGTGTGTGTGTCACGATCTGTAGGCGCTTGCTAGGCAAACAACTGTATGTGAAGTTAGCTAAAATCGAACCGGATGCAAGTAACAATTTTCCTTAAAACCCAGTGTTGAGATTGTGTCACTAAAGCTAGTCTCAGGTTTACGTCCTGTTATTGTCATATCATTTATAATCTGGGTGTTTTTTAGCCCTTGAATTATAACAATTGATTGATTAGTGCTCAGACATGGGGCCAGCTATGAAAAAGCACCATCGGAGTGTGATGATGCGATGCTTGAACCTCATCTCTTAACCATCATACACACATTTAAGTCGGAAGAATAAAGCGAATCAAACAATCGAACGTTTCAAATCGATCGATTTCTCTCTGAGATGGTTTATTCTGAAAGTGGTGACCGGAAGTTTCATTGTCTACCGTGTCGTGCTTGACTTTGGCGCAATGTGCTAATAGTTAGCTAACCCATCCTTCTCCCTGCCAGGGTCTGGATATGAAAATAAGGCTTTAACCAAGTGTAAACACGTTTCACCCCCGCACCGACTGTGCCCTTTATAAACTGAGGACCAGGCCTTCGGGGTGCTGTTGTCCTGCTGTTATTACAGAGAAAGTAAAACAGCTCGAGGCAGTAGACTGATGGGAAACACCTACAGCAGACAGGCACTGACATCTGAAACCCCCTTACAGACTCTACAGTGACTACAGACACGTGTTGTTAAAGCACTACCTCTCCCACACAGTGCCGCACACATGGACCTCAGTGTTGAAATACATTATGGCAATGGATGACAGAAAAAAAGGAGTGGCAGGTATTGCATTGGAAGTCAAAAGGCAATTCAGTATTTTACAATGATATACTTAAGTATGTACACATACACAGTGTGCACGTTTGTGTTTATCTGTACAAATTGTGTCCCTGAAGTTTACAGTGTGTGTAGTTCTGATGTAAGGCTGTTCTTCATACGTGATGTGTATACATTCATTTGGTTTCCTGCCCATGTTCTCTGTCCCTGGATGATGGAAGCTGAGATCACTGAGGCTTTCACTCTAACACAACCTCTTTTGATTAGAGTCGAAAACTACTTCCCTGAGGTGATCAGCATGTGAGACCGTTTTCCCAATTATAGCTTTTCATAAATCGTGGCTTTAATGCCTCCAGCATAAGTCACTGAGGAGAGCAGAGGGGGACTAAATGACAGTGAATGAAAGGATTATATATTTTTTGATAAGGGCACTTGTTTTCTCAAAAGGTGCACAAATGTGCGTGTTAAGCACATGATCAGATTTAAAGATTGTTCTGCTGATGTTCTCGCTGTATTTTTCATGCTGCCACACATCTCTGTGCTGCTCACAACCTTTGCAACACTTAACACACAGTGCCGCAACGCCAATTCTCTTGGTAGTAGAATAACTTGTCTCAGTGTTGCTGTCAAGGAATGCATGTGGATTGTATTTGTGTAGGCATGTTTGCACCAGATGAGGGTGGAAATTGCTGTTGCGGTGTTTGTTACCGCTGCTGTTTATCTGTCTGCATGATTATGCAAAAAAAAACAAAAAAAACCTCTGAAACAATTTTCTTGAAACTTGATTGAAGGGTGGGGTATGGGCTAAGGAAGAAGTCGTTTATTTTTGGAGCATATTTGATTTAAGGGGCAGAGCCAGGATTTGTTTTTCACTTACCTTCACATTGCATGATAGGGCGAATTTCATTATCTTTGTGAATTGAAATCTTGATTAAAAAAAAAGCAGGCATGGTAAGGAGACTGACATTTATAAGTGTGTGAATTTGGATTGGCTTGATTGACTGTTTGGCCCTTGGCAGAGTTCTGCACTCTACTGTATGTCATAGTTGTGTGATGACCAACCTGTTTGATATTTCATAACATGACGAGAATATTGATTCACAGTGAACATTCAAAATGAAGTCCAAAGTCAAACTTTGTTGTAGATAAGATGTCTCACCTTAATGATCAGGCATGTTCAGGTTCCTTTATTCAATTTTTCTTGAATAACCATCAAAATTTCCTGTGATTAACTGTGAAAATCAAATTTCTCAGAATATATTAGAAGATTAATAGTGCATGCTCAAAAAATTGTGCTGTGCTGTAGTGCTAATCTGTGCCCTGCAGGTTAAACTGCTATATTGTGTCCATTGTAAGCACATTTAATTCAAACTTAACTCAAAACACACACCTTGTATGAACTCCAGTGAGGTTGTACTGTAGCACTCATACTTGTCCGTCACGTCTGGATAAAGTTACAAAGACTGGAGTCAGGTTTGTTTTGATCTGCATGATGACAGGCCACCAAAATATCCAGTACAGAAGTTCCTCGTGAGGCCATATTATAACTCCTGGTTTACTTTCTGACACTTACCATCATGAGTCAAACAGAATCAAGTAGATGAACTCTTGGTGTTCGATAATCACATCCTGACTAATTACATTATTAATGTGTTTGTTTGCAGTACAGCGCAGTGGACTCAAATCCCCTGTCCGTCTATGTCATGCACCCTTTCTGGAACTTTGTGGTGAAGGTGAGAAAGACCTGTTAAACTTGATCTGTGTTATAGGCTTCTGGGCGAGCTGCATCATTAATGAGGTTTCCAAGCTGTGATACAGTAACAACACACACACACACACACGCTCTCACACACTCCCCTTTGTCTCAGTGTCAGAACACATCCGTCTCTGATGGTTAATGTCTGATCTGGACTATGGAGGGTGTTGGTGGGTTGTTTTGAAGCATATACACAATGAATGTTTCCATTTTCCTCGTAAACAGCTTGATCAAGCACTGATGCATTAATTTACTTATCTGTATCAAACCATTGTGTTTACATTGATCACAGCTTGACGGAAACCTGACATTACTTGTTAGAAATGTATGTTCCCTTTCCTAAAATCATCTCTGCCCAGAATATGTGACACAAATAATCACTGTCTTATTATGTAATTATTATAATTATACTGTTATTATTACAACAAGAAGACTGACAGTGGCATTGTTATTGTTTTTTAATATCTCTTTGTCTTTTCCCACCTCCTCCTCCAACAGTTTCTACCGACATCGTTGGCTCCAAACCTAATTACATTCACAGGCTTTATGTTTCTTGTGTTGAACTTCCTCATGTTGTCCTTCTACGACTTTGACTTCACTGCCTCTGGTAGGTCTTCCACACTACTGATCTTCCCCCTGGTACACAGACACAGACTTGAGTTTTGCACTGACCTCTACAGATATGCTGGTAAAAATGACCCCACAAATGATACACACCCATTACTGATTCACCTCGAAATATGCGAAGAACATGATAAGATGCTGATTAATATTGAGAGCCCATTCTTCAGTCAGATTAAATCCTACTACATTTGTTTGGACAATATTTGTAATCGTTGTCTCTGTGTGGTATGATGTGTATTCACATTATTTGTGTCTCAGCTGCAGGACATGAACACGTGCCTAGTTTGGTCTGGGTTGCTGCAGGGATCTTCAACTTCTTGGCGTATACACTCGGTGAGTCCTAACCCCTGTCGCCCCCGTGTGTTATTATATCTCTCTCTCTGACTGTGTGAGAGGCTCAGGGGAATTCTTCCTGTACAGTGACCCCCATGGCTGATCTCACAACATTAAGCAATCAGACTACAAAAATAACTGTAAAGGGTTATTGGAGACCTATATATATATTTAATTGTCTATAGTGATATTTTTTTCTCAGATAAATTACTGAGTGGTGTCTGTTGAAATGTGATTGTGTTGATGAGAAAGCCATGTAGCTCTTTCATCAGGTAAAAGCAGATACCAATGTCAACAGGATGCCACATTGATCAATCAGCAGAATCGTCATTTGAAGATACGGTTGTGCATGAAGCGTTCGTTGTCAAGATCCTGAAATGGAAAAAATGGATGTGCAATTTAAATGTGAATTTATCTGAATGTGGAATATGATCATGCTGCAGCATTCATACTTTATCATCCTGAAACACCTTCACTTTGCTGTCAACAACACAAAATGAGAACTATCAGTATTTAAAGGATTGTGTAATTTTCAAGAGGCTGATGTATTCGCATCACTCTCCACTCTCTTAGGACGAATGTTAAAACCAGGACTGAACACAGTATAATATATACAGATTTATTTTACCATCAAACTCCTTCTCTGTGAACGACAGTAACTTTAAATCTTGCTGACCATTTTGGGATCTATTAAAATTAGACAAATTGCCACATGCTCTCTTATGAGGGTGTGTTTGCAGAATAGTTCTGCATGTGGATGAAATGAGAGCAGCTGAGATCAGAGGTTGTGACAGTAAATTCAGTGGTGAGAAGCAGGAATGTGGCTTAAATACATATTTTCATATAAATATGTTGTGTGTGTAATGTGCCTTTTCCTTGTGTTTAGATGGTGTCGATGGTAAACAGGCGCGACGCACCAACTCCTCCACACCACTAGGGGAGCTTTTTGATCACGGCCTGGACAGCTGGGCCTGCATCTACTTTGTGGCCACTGTATACTCCATATTTGGGCGTGGTGAGAGCGGTGTGGGTGTGGCAACGCTGTATTACATCCTGTGGGTGGTGCTGTTCTCCTTCATCCTGTCTCACTGGGAGAAATACAACACAGGCATCTTGTTTCTGCCCTGGGGATACGACATCAGCCAAGTGGTAAAGACACAAACATCAACAATTATTCAAATTAACACTCCAGCCGTCTGATGACCTGATGTCTCGTCTTCTTCCAGACGATCTCCCTTGTTTACTTGGTCACCGCTGTGGTTGGTGTGGAAACATGGTACCAGCCAATCCTGTTCCATTTCCTCTATAGAGACCTTTTCACCTTCATGATCATTGGTGAGCTGTGACCAGTCAAACTAAATCCACACATTCACTCTGTCAAAGCAGCTACACTAATCAATGTTTGTTGACTTCCAGCTTGTTCCTTCACCGTGACCTTACCCATGAGCCTCTACAATGTCCTGAAGTAAGTTCAGTTTCCATCAGCGCTTCATTAACTTGTAGAATCATCTTCACTCAGCGCTCTGAACTTTTTTCTCCCCGTGGTGTTTCAGGGCTTATCGCAGTAACACTCTGAAGCACAGCAGCCTGTACGAAGCCTTCCTGCCCTTCCTCTCGCCTGTCCTCCTCTTCATCTTGTCCACCATTTGGGTGGTGTTTTCTCCATCCAACATCCTTGAGCTGCAGCCCAGGACCTTCTACCTCATGGTGGGAACAGCATTCGCCAATGTCACGGTGAGAGTCTGCAGACTTTTCACACACTGAAGCTGCTTTCAGACGTGCACTGAAGTCCAGACATTTTCCAGTGTAGAACGCAAATATCTGAATCAGTCGCTCCATGCATTTTCCGGAAGTCTTCCCGCCAACCCTACTTTAAAAATGTCAAGAAAATTCATAGCGAGCGAGTGGACACGTTGATGTCAGCGGTAGAATTTATACGTTGACCCCTCGCCTGAATGTTCCAGAATATTTCCTGTTGTTGTGAAGAGTGTGTGACACAGACAATCTCCTGCTGCGTCCTTATGTGAAAGGCAGATTTCAGTTCATTTCTGAATAGAGCTACACACACACACAGATACATGTTTTGTGGTTCTGATAACATGAAAGTGTTCATGTGTGTGTTTATCTTGCAGTGTAAGCTGATTGTGTGTCAGATGAGTAACACACGTTGCCAGGCGCTAAGTTGGCTGTTGCTGCCCATGTCGTTGGTGGTGGCGTTAGCGGTCAGTGGAGTGGTCGCCAGCGAGACGCTACTGTTGTATCTGTGGACAGCGGCTGTCATACTTGCACACATACACTACGGTGTATCCGTGGTAAGAGCACACATAAAGATACTTTTCTATTTCCCTTTATCACACCAAGACTGTTTCCTCTGGTTTGCAGGTGAATTTATCAACTCACTTGAAGTTAAAGTGAATGGAGTTTACTCAATGACTTCAGAATGACAGACAGAATTTCTTGTTATAGTCTTGAGTTGATAATTTGTTTGAAATCACACACTTGGAATTGAATGAGATACAAATAAAGTTTGTGGTGTTTCTTGTTGTATTCAATTTGTTAGGTTCAACAGCTCAGCGACCACTTCAACATCTTCGCCTTCTCCCTGAAGAAGCCGAACAGTGACTGACAGGAGGAGGAACGAATTGGCTTGAAAGGAGCGGAGGTTTAAACTCCTCCCCTCCTCTACTCTACTGACACTTCACTCTCATCACCACGGAAACCACATCCCCTCCCCTCCATCCATGAGGACGCCGCAAGTGGAACGGACTATGGCCCTATTTTCCACTGTCTCCAAACACACATTCCTGGCCAACCAACCAAACCCTGTCTCTGCGATGGGGCGGGCCCAGGGGCTCTGGCTTCCGTCATTGGTGATTGGCTAACTTGGTTGAGCCAATGAGGTGCAATTGTTTCCTACGGAAATGTGCTTCAGTCATGAGGACAAGAGCCCTGACGAGCCATGCAAACACACACACACACAAACAAACAAAAGTTATTCTGCTTTCATGCAGATCATTTTTATCTTGTGGCAGGTATTCCCATACAAACACACACACATAGTTATACACTCACATAGTATTATGAATGTATAATATGCCTTGGGAAAACGTCATTTCAGTTTTTAGCATTAACAGAAAGTAGTGCTATTTCAAAACTGACCAAACCTCTGAACTCTGACCACATGCGGCTCTCGCGTTCACAGCTGCGTCCAAAGTTTAAAGGTTCAGTCACCAGTTTTTCATGGGATGATTTTAAGTTGGAAATCTCTGTGATATATGTTAATAACTATATGTATATATATATATATACACACACATATATATATACATATATATATATACTGTATGTGCGATGGGTTCGGGGCATTTTAATTTCAATAATTGGTCCTATAAAACAAAGAATTAACGTCAAATTAATTCCACTTTCTATTGAACAACCAGGGTTAAGACTCTACTAATCTTTGACCTCTGTCTGAGCACTGGCCTCCTCGCTCCCCCTACCTTCTGAGGTGTCACGGTTTCATGCTAATTCGTTCGGTTTCTTTTTTCTTAACATACATTTATGGTATGGTATTATTTGTTAGTCTGTTGCCATGGCAGTGGTGTGTGGTTTAGTGGCGCAGCGTTTGAATGAAGAGTGTGTCCAAAAACCAGAAACGGAGCGGACTCACTCTGAGGGAACAAACCGTTGCACAGGACACCGCAAACACCACACAACTCTGCCTGGTGTCACACTCTACTACTCACACACTGTTACCACACCTTTTATACTGTCTGTCAGGTAACTTGTGTGTTTCTTTCAGTCTGTTAAACACTGTTCCTCTGTGTGACTGTCTCCATGGTGAAGATGGATATTCAGTAGCTGCAGACTGGACATTGCTTCTCATCCAGCTGGGTTTCACTTTTTTACAACATAGACATTTTGTCAGTGTGACTGTAGTTTGGATGAAATAATTTATTTTGTGTTATCTGACACATCCCTTTTAGCATTGTTTCAAAGTCAGCACTCAATCTGTCTGTTAAAGAAGTTAAACAGAAAAGCTACACTCAAGGGTACAGTTCAAGCTTGGCCCGATCGAAGCCTAAGTGATCGAGGCCCAAGGCTAAGGAATTCTATGAGTCTTATTATTTTCAAACCTTTACTCTCAACCAGAATGGGAAAAGACTGGTGGAGCTCTGGTTCACATATCACACCTCAATTTCACCCGACGAAAACCAGGTGGAACTGATGTGCGACAGTTTGTATGAAGGAAACTGTTGTGAAAGCCTTACAAGGCAAGTCCAATCTGGAGCTCTGTGTCAGTCTGACTGAACATGAAGCCTGAATGTGAATGTTCAGTCGAGGTAATTATGGGCTTGCTTACCGATTAAATGGTGCATAGGAAATATCACTCGGGCAAAATGTAAAAATATACTTGTAACTTGGACTTGATTAGATTTGCTTATGCTTTTCTTTCACTTGTTTTAGTGCATAAACTGTGAGCAACAGTGAACATGGAGGAGGCCCACCCTGTAGTGTCACTGCAGTCTTGTCAGGGAGCAAAAACATCCAACTCTACTGCCATAACACCCAGCGAAGCAGCCATGTTAGTTTCCCGTAGCTCTGCCCTGTGGCTGTATGCAGTCAAGCACATTGTAATAGTTGACATTTTGATTTCACAAGTCCTTTTTAATAAAGCCCCACGTCTGTGACTGTAGTGACTTGAGAACAACTGATTGTGAGATGCACTGTCTGGGTATGTGCTGATCCAAGTATGTATGGGTGTGTACTCTGTATGTGTGAATATCTGTGTAAATACATTATTTCTTCATTTTCATATTTTATTTTTTGAAACTGGATTGTTGCTCAGATGGTTGAATTTTTTTTCTTTCTGGTTCAGCTCTTGACGGGTGAGATGGTCGACCAGTAGAGGACAACCAATCAGCAGTGATCTTGAAAGATGCAAAGTTTCATGCTGTCAAGGAAGCAGTTCCTACATCTGACAAATGTTTTATGAACAATTTTCCTCTCTGCTGCTCCACTCTCTGATTGGATCGTCCTTGAGGTCACAACTCTGGGATAGTTTGGAGGCGGCAAAGACCACAAATAATGCTAAATGCTAATAAGCTTTTCAAATCTTAATTAGCAAAACAATCTGCCAGCAGAGTGAGACACACATGAAGAGACAGAGTCCCACTCTTGGTAGATAAACTCCTTTTCTTTATCAAACCTCCATTTTCACAGCTACTTTCTGTGAGCATCTTTTTGTAGTGTGCTCTTCAGCTTCTCTCACCACATTCTAGGACAAACTGCCCCTCCTCCTGGATTAATGACTCAAACCTTTCAAGTTATGATGAAGTTGTTGTAAAATATAGCTCTGGAAAAAAACTCCAGGGCTCCTGGGTGGCTACTTGTGACGTTGTATTTAACCAGTGAAAGAAAAGACTGTCCAGAATCAAATAAAAGTGAAAGTTTCTTTAACCAGCTCACTGTGTCTGAGGCACAAATGTTTGTGATAGTTTTTTTTAAATTTTAGTAAAGCTGAAGTTTCTTTGTTGTCCACTAGGGACCAGCATAGAGCCTTTTGTACTCAGCACTCAAGTCACTGTTGAAAACAATTACAGAGGTTATATACAGATCATGGGCTGCTGTTCACAGATAAGTAAATTACTATTGATTGTTTCACAATATCTAATTCCATTGCTTATACACATTTCATTTCTCCTCTTTGGTCCCTTTCTCCTCTCCTATGTTTTCTTTCATCCCCTCCCTTACTTCCTCTGTCCTGTCTCCTCACCTTCCTTCCGTCCTTTTTGTTTTTGTTTCGTGTCACATTTAAAAAATCTTCCCTCTCAGCACCATGAAGAAAATATGCCTCATCCCCCCCAAACAATCAGCTATAAAACTGTAGATATTTTTCACTTTCAGTGACTTCGATCTTTTTTCCCTGAGTTTTTCTCTCTTCCTCTTCCTTCCATCCATCCTCTTCCTCTGTCTCCTCATCGTAATAGTAATCATAATCCTCATAACAGTTGTGTGGCTGCTACTGACTTTATCTCTTAGACTTTATGAGGCATGATGTTTCCCAGTTGCTCAACAGTGCTCATTTCCCACATCTGTCAACACGCAGATATTTCCATTTTGGTGGTTCCAAGTTAGGAAATCACTTCCTTCATCTCCCACTCCTCTCCCTCTGTGTGTGTGTGTGTGTGTGTGTGTGTTTGATTCTGTGTTATTCTCTCTCCATGTGTTCTTAGGATCCAAACATGGGTCTGCAGCTTCTGCCTCATAATTCATTAGCTGTTCAAACATTGAAGCAAACGTCTTTGTCTGTCTGTGTGTCTAAATTTCTGTACTCTGCTGTAAATATAGAAATATTGTATTAAAACCTTTACACTGTAAATATGGAAACATTTTATAAATCCTATTACTGTGTTCTAAATATGAAAACACTGCATAAATGTCATAATTGTGAGATAAATAAAACTAAATATTATGAATATTCTGTTGCATTATTTTAGTAGGTCAGAGGTTGATTTTAGGAGAGACTTTATAATCTGTCCTCTTTTAAATAAAGCTTCAATAATCCGCCTGCTTTGAACGAGCGCTGGCAGATTTAAAGCAGATTTGATGGTAGCTGGGTTGCAACAGTTGTTTTAAAGTGTCATTCAGTGATACTCTGGTACTTTCAATGCCACAGAAATATTGTCCATGATGTTCAGTCAAAAACCTCTGGAAACATCATGACGACAAAGCAACTGAAACTTAGGAACATACAAAAAAGGTGACGAGGTATAGAGGCTTTACTTTTTTGGCCTGAAGCTTCTTCTCTGCAGCATGTTTGCTGTGGACCTGGCCAGGACTGGTAACCATGGTAACAGCGGAGGACCACACGAGGAGAAGATCTGACAATCAACAAAACATAGTAAAGGGTGTAGAAGTTTTCTTCCATCACTTCATGTAAAACAATGCACACAGATGGGAGGTTGTGCTAGTGGAACATGCTGCACTACACAGAGCCTCCAGCAGATGGCACTGTAGGTCCACACATGTTGTAGCCTCCAGGAATGTTGGACCCACAGCTGAGGATCAGAGGGACAGAGTCAAGACACGTTTCTGTGCACGTCTCACACATTTCTCTCTGACATGACTTTCCCAGGTTCATTTTATCGTCTTCACAGTTTGAACATGAGCTGAACTGAACACCTCGGACTCATGGGACTCCCTGTTACAGACTTCATTAGTAATTGATTGTCTGGTAGAAAACAAGAGCAAGAGAGAGAGAGAGAGAGAGAGAGTCTGTGTACAAAACATCTTTGCTGAGCTCCTGGTTAAGGTTGGTGCTCAGGTGTGAGTTGTGGTTACATTAAGGATTAGATATGAATTGGTCACAGTTAAGGTTTGTTTCATTTGTCCACAATGAAAGGAAGTCAATGCATAGTGCAAATCTGTGTGTGTGTGTTTTTAAGGCCGTGTGGGGATCAAGACGAAGGGGATGGAGTGTTTACTCAGAGTCAACTAAACTCTTCCATCAGAGAATATTAAAAACATTTCATATTGAATAATCCTGAGGAGAAAGTGCCAGAAATCCTCAAAGCAGCAGAATTGTTTGACGAGTTTGATGAAGACTTCTCTGTCAGAGTCGGTTTGTTTGAACCTGGAGGCCCAGCATGTCTGGGTTGGATCGGCCGTCTGTTGTGAAAGTGGAGGTGCTGAGTTGTGCCTGTCAAAACAGCTGGCAGCACATAGTGACGCTCACTTATCAGAAACATGACTCTCATCCAGCAGTGATTCATTCAAACCATGAGCTGGACCGTCCACTCATTTTCTGATCCACCTCTTTGCACGTTACAGTTTCACTTATTCCACTTGACCTTTTCCTTTATTTTACACTCTAATCATATAGTTTTATGTTCCTTGAAGGAATACACCATCAAAAGTTTCAAATGGGAAAGTTTAACTGCAGAAGAAAAGGAAAGAGGGTCTGCAGAGTCTCAAGATAATCCTTCAGCTTGCAGAACTTTTCCATCGTCCCAAACATTTTATTTATTTATTTTTGTTAAAATATAGTTGGGCTCAGCTGCAGGGGACCAAACTACAACCCTTTCAAAACCACAGTTTGAAGCCAAATGTTCCCTTTATAAAGATTTATAAATCATACTCAAATCATTTACTAAAGCTGCAGGGATCACTAATAAGTCACTGATAGATTCAAGTTGTTATCCTCCTCCAGCAGGACTGTTTTTTATCTGCAGGGCATCTACACCAGTTTTTTATAAATTTATTAATGACATGAATATCGATGACTCACCAGCTCGAGATATTTTACACAACCTGGAAACCCACTCGCCACAGATGGCTCAAGACTGATCTGTAAAGACAGAGTGATTAATGGAGCTATTACAACTTTTATAAAAGGGTTCTCATGAAGAAGAATAAACGTGGTGCTTAAAGCAACACTATGACATGGACATGTTAGACTTATTAAAATCTCAGCTGCTTTAACATCTGCACTGAAGTCCAGACATCAGCCTCATCTCCTCCGCCTCCAGAAAACTACTTCAGTCCTTCACCTTGCAAGATTCCCCTCACACTGACCATCTTTGTTTTCCTCAAAACGTCATGAACCCTGACAGGAACTCTGGCCTCCACTATAAAAAGACTCTCCTCTATTTTCTGACATCACTGTGCGCGTGAAGGTCGAGTGCTGAGGTGACACACTGTCCCTCTGATCACTGCGTCTTTGAGTGAATTAGCTGGTGTGGATCTTGAACTGACAGTTAATCAGAGGTGGCATCAATTAAACAGTGCTTGGCTCAGGTTGCTGTGATGCTGGGCATTTTGTGTGCCGCTGACCCCCGTGACACACACACAAACACACAGTAATGGCGGGCAGCCGCAGACTAGTTAACCACCGCGCCACCCTGGGCCGCTCTCCCTGCGAGGTGACACTCAATTATGGATGACCATCATTAGAAACCAGACCCGCCGGAACACAGGCCTGCCCAGACTGACACACACACACACACACACACACACACACACACACATCTACACAGAGATGGCCACAGCGATTATTCTCAGAGACACCAAAGACTATTGAAGTGCTAATGGGGTAACACCATCCATTCCAATACATAACCAGTGCTCTGTTACCTCTGTGGCCTCCAGGTGACACAAGGATCCATTTTCCACATCACTGGCATAATTAGTAAATTAAAATCAGTGTGAAATTATCATGGAAATCCAAAACTTTTTGTTTCGTTCATTTCGTTCTGGTCCATCACACAGTGATGCTGCTCCTACACTGTCTACTGCATGTGGAGGTTGACTTTCCTTTGTCCTGGTTCTTAATCCTGCATTTGTTCCATGAAGAAGCAGAAACAAAGGACACGTCCCTCATCAATCATCTGTGTGGGGATTAAGCTGCTGTACATTGAAATGATGACACAGACGAGTCATGCATCCTCAATGTGCACATACACACATCAAAGTTTCCATTTTCAGAGCGAACTCTGGCTATGTCTCTTTGTCTGCAGCCTGAGAATACAAACACACAAACACGTCACATTAACACACTGAACAAACTGGTACACGATGTCTAGATTTATATTCAACTGGACTGAATGTGGAGTTACAACCTCACAGGGCCTGGTTCAATCTTCTTAGTTTGGATAAAACAGCAAATACTTCTCTAATAATTAACCAAAGCTCAACAACAATAGATAAAACATCAGCCAAACAAGACCAGGCATGACCACATGACCAATTGCCTGTGACCACAACAGTCCGTCTCCATAGCATCTCACCTGATGGGGCATGACGATGACCCAAACTTTAACACAACCTAACCTACATTCTGCCGTTTTAGCAACTGAGAGCTGAAAGTCAGAGAGAGGATGTGAGGGGCGCTCAAACATGAGGGGGACCCTACATTGATAAAAACAAACCCCCCTGACAAACACATGATACCAAACCACATCTTTAGCAGGATTACTCAACAATTACGTAACCAATTCCCATGAAACTTGGTGGAAGGATGTATTATGGGTTGAGGAGGAACCTATTACATAATGGAGGGGATCTGGGTCAGTGGCCGGATCCAGGACTTTTTTTACTTTGTTTAACATAACACACTTCAACACAAAGGCCTGTCAGCATTGGTCCTCAGCCGGGACTGTGTAATGGCGAGTAGGGCCTTCGCTGAGGACCTCGGGTTACGACCAGACACACATGGTGTCTTTAGCGAGGAGTCTGGCTGTTGCATTTTGGACGAGCTGTAATTTATGTCGACTCTGTTGGCTCAGGCAGGTGAAAAGAGAATTGCAATAATCCAAACAAGAGGAAATGACGGCATGGACGACAATCTCCAAGTTTCTTGTGGATAAAAACACACTGATCTTTGAGTTTCCTGAGCTGCAACTGTGGCTTCATAAGGGAACTGTTGGGCCTTGGCAGAGGTTTGCACGCCACTGAGTGACAGTCT